AAAAAAAACCACATATACTCCAGTAAAATAAAATTTTTTACTTGCAGTTTTAAAACTGTCTTTAATCATTCGACAGCATAAATTAGCGGTTGATAGAAATAACCTAACTACCTAACCTGGGCTATGACCCAGTAAAAGGGGGAGAGGAGATTTCAGCTCTAATTTTTCCACTGCCACCGATGCAACTTAGGTTTGAAACTCCAACAGTCAGGTAATCCGATGTGGCTGACATTAGCCGCGTGTGATTTGCTCCAACAGAACTCTCCAAGAAGTCCTCCGGTGCCCCAGGTCGGTCCAGAGACGGCCAAAAATGTCAGCTTCTTGAAAGTCATGTGACTTGTTACTTTGGCGTCTATGGCTCCCTGGTTCGAATAGCCAAGTGTCTCGAAAGGGTACACACCGTCCTTGTCATTCAAATCATCTCTGCAAAACCCGACGACAATCACAGTTATAACAGGTGTACATATAATATATATATATTTATAGATACAAGTTTATGGTTTTTTCAAGCTTTAATAATAGCACAAGCTATACTATATTGCGTATTTATACTTATACATCATAATTAAATAAATAATATCTGACTTGAGGACATTTTGAGTAATACATATTCTGTTCTAATCTGTAATATTTAATATTACAGTGATTTGACCTATTATCAAACTTAAAGACAAAAATATTATTTAATGCGTCTCAAAGTTTACTTTTATATTTTAATTTTAAAACAAGTTATGAACATTTTACAATATTGCCAAGTGTTTACGTAATGCTAAAAACTTGCTTCAAAATTTAAACATCAAGAATAACTCACGAGTTGCAACAACTAATATACCGGTATAAATGTATAACACTCTAAAAATTCCGCTGTGCCATATGATCCGTCGATGTGATCACAAGAAGTTTAGGGTGTAATGTGTATTATATATTTACTATAAATAAAATACCTGCAATAATATTAAAACCGTAACAATAATATTTAATTGGTAATGCCGTATAATAACTAGGAATTGGGATACGGAATATAAACATGCAGTAAATGTTTAGAATGCTTAATTTATTCGCTAAGATAATAATGATTAGAAACCTATTTCGATGAAATCAATATAATATATGAAAAAAATACAACATTTTTTATGATACAGAAATATAAAATGGAATTCATTATTTGTTTTCCGATATGTTTTTTTAATTATATTTTATTCATTTGTTATACTGTAGCCAACTACAGTGTTCAGACAACGCGAACACGATTACCAGACTGCTGGTCTGTCTGCTCGGCGACGAGAGATTATATGGGCTGTGTGTGGGCCGGATGGGTGTGCGTTACTGTACTTACGGCGGCGTTCGGTATTGTGTGGGCGGTAAAAAAAACTCGGTAAAAAAATGACAGTGTCACAATGTACATTCTGTATGTGTGTATTATATATTCTATAGCTTATATGCTTACAACATGCAATTATCTCCAAAGTGAAACTGTTATCGTTTACCTGGACGAAATGGCGTTTGCAGCAGAATACGGGGGAATGCAAGACTCACACCTTGACTGTGGGTCGTTTCTGAAATCGTTGGAACGCATCAGGCGCATCATGCTCGGCACGTCGGTCACACTGACGTGGTCCCTGGCGAATATACGAGCCCGGGGATTGTCTTTGTACGAAAACCTATTTTGATATAAGAAAAAAGCATGTTAATACAATAATATATACTATAGGTATGTGCGCAAGGGATGCAGAAACAATATATACATTTTAAAAAGGCGTATTCGCTTCTTATAAATCCCATTAATTATATAAAAAATTATAAAATTGTTTAAAAATGTTGTGAAGACTATTGGTTCAAAAATAAATCTTAATGACTCAAAATCACCAAAGTTTTTAAGTAATGTATATCTCGTAAGGGTACCTAACCTGCATTGAATCTCTACGCCCAAAGCTATATTATTTACGCATACATGTACTGTGAATGTCCGCAATTGGTGAGTGCTGACAATCACCTAGTGATTGTCGACATACACCTACTAAATTGGTGAATATTAAAATATTAAAATAATATAGACATGTACTGGTGGATGTTGATATTTACATTAGGATTTTGGTCAATATTGACATACGTAACACGGTTTTGGTTAATGTTGACATAGGTTATTAGGTTACGTATTCGCATATAATATTATAGCATAGTACTATAGACAATAATATAAAATATAAATGATATACTTATCTAGTATACCTAGCTTAGCTATAAATATTAACAATTACTTTTATTAGTTATTATTTTAAAAAAACGACGAAAATTGTTCTACTTATTGCAATTTTGACACTTTGTCATGACATTTTGAACTGCATAAAATGCCAACATTTCTACAACCGCACTTTTTTGTGGTGCACTGGTGCGCTTTGTTTTGCAATTACATCGTGTATACTCTTGCCCACTGGTTGATAGATTTGATACAGAAGCTTGCCTTAAGCAAATTTTTTGATCAATTTGTACATAAGTGATTGATATTAAATTTTCTTTACATACTGAAAACTGGTTCCTGGTGTATAATTAATTTATAACACCATTTTTGGTAGTTATAATTTTTTAGATACTAAATTATTGAATTTAATATAAAATACTTCACGTATGTTTTCCATTTAAAAAAAATATTTAGTTGATTGTGCAAATCACTGTACTAGCTACTATAACACTATAACTACGTTGAATGACAATATCATACAAAATGTTAACGAGGCAGCATATAGCATGGCGGTTATCCAGGTATAATAAATCTCAGGGTAAGACAATAAAACATTTTATCGAAATTATCAACGTGTATATTAGTTAATAAGTAGGTACTAGAATATTAGACGAGATCAGATTAAATAATATCGGCATTACCAACATTTACTAATATCGTTATATAAATGTCGACATTCGCTAGTAAATGTTTACAAACAGTACAAATTTAATCAGTATGCCAACATTCACCAATGACTTTGGTGTATGATGAGTGATGACATTAAACTGCCACTGCCAGCACTCACAAATTACGGACATTCGCAGTAACATACATATATATTATATAAACCATGTTTGTGTGTTGAATTTCTGCCCCAACCCCCTTCCTCCGGTATGTTCACCAAAACGCGCCACGGCCACCAACATATAGATTCGACACGTATATCGTTGCAGCAATCGCCATCTTACCAATTTCCGTATCGCTTCACCATATCGTCTTGACCGCTTGCCTCGGATATCGCCGGTAAAAATGGCACGTTGTAGCTCGCCCAGTACGTCTGGTTGAGAAATGATTCGGTCACGTCACGCGTCTCGACCAATCCTGGAATTTGTTCGAGCATGAACAGCAACCCTCTTCTGGGCAGCTTGCGACCCGGCCGAAAAAGAGAGTAATTGATCACCAGCCACTGGTTGTTGTACGTGCCGCTGTTGTATTTCTTGAACCACTTCGTCCAGGCCAGTCCATCGGACGCCAGCCGATTCGCCACCATCGCCCGAACGAAAACCATCACCTTCATCATCATTTATAAGAACGGTGTAATAATAGGTAAACGAATTGTTTTCTAATTTTCATTATTTATTTGCGCCATTGTACGAGTATAAAGGTATAAAGATCCTGCAGTTATTTTATTACGATATAAAAGTATAACATATATTTTAGTATATACAAAGCGTTATGAATCGTTTGTAGAATTGAACGAGTGTGTTATTTAATATCATATTCAAACGGATCGATGAAATAAAATTTAAAAACAAATTAGAAATACTAGTTTCTTTATTTTTAACAGGCAATTTGTCTTATGACATTTTTTAAGCGCACACTATTGTATATTAAAAACAAGAACACTTTACTTTTTTAAATGTTAATAACTATATTTTTGGAGGATTCTGGTAGTAATATTTGTATGAAAATGTTGCACACCCCTTGGGTACCACCGCCTTGCATAATTTAAGATAAAGAATATTCTGATAAACATTTTCTCATTAATTTTGATATAAAACTGTTATACATGCACATGCATTACACATAACATAGAAGTATAAAGGTATACTCAGTGTCTTAGTATGTACAAACACGTTTGTATACCGGATGATTGGCTAAGCATGCAGCTTATCCCCATTTTTTACTTTAATAATGAATTTGTTCAAAATTTGATTTTTGGAGATTCAAGCTTCTGTTTTTCAAATGAGAACCCTCCTCTTTTACTGTAAATAGAAGAAATACATTTTTTTAAATGTTGATGTATCACGTTCAAAATTCGAATGAGTAGTTTCTTAGTTATTAAAATGTTTGTATTAAGGATAATAGTCCTTAATACTGGTTTTACACAAGTATAAAATAGACGTGAAATTGGATCTAGTATCTATTATACGTTGGCCATTTTTATAAATTATTAATATCTATAGATTAATATAAATTATTACAATTTTCAAATCACCATAGCCAACCCCCACATCTTATACACTCATTACTATGGACTTTTTATCCTTAGAACACAAAGTTATATAACTCAACAACTACAAGTACGAATTTTGATTTTGATACTTCAAACATTTTAGAAAAATGATCTGCTGTATAATTTATAGTTGAATAAATTAGTTTTTAGTCTTGTTTTCATTTGAAAAACAGAAGTTTGTATCTCCACGGAATACTCCTAAATAAGTACAAAAAATCTCAATAATTTAAAAATATGGTCTTAAAGTACATTAAAAACGTAAAAAAACAGATTTTTAATAACTACATTATTGAAGAAAAAAGGGGATGAGCGTTCTTGGTGAATCAACCTATGTATTACAGTAGGTTGTCATGATGTTATTTACTACAATATGTCTATATTATAGTAGTATAGTACCCACTTGTATTCCTACAGAATTGCTGCGGTTCGAGCTGATTTGTATTATGTATTTCAATATTATGCAGCATGACAATATGTATGTACCACGATTTGTTATCAATTGTTTTGAATATAAAATAATATTTTCGTTCTTTTAATTGTTTGTGCGTTTTTAGTACGAATTTCACCAACATATTCAATATACTCAAGTATATGATGTATTTTATTATGAATGGCTTGGGAAGTGGAAGAATGTAAAGTGTAGGTGCATTAATTCTGAGACCCTATTAATTTGATTTCCTACAGATAACGAAAATCGTATACTGCCTACATATATATTATATAATATATGAATATGTACATTGTATGGCTAAATTGACCATATTATAGAATATACCTATATAATATGGTTCTGAGTTTACGACTCTTTTGCATTATTACACGTATTTATCTCTAACCTGCCCAACTGGCTGAACATTGGCCCATAGTTGTGGATTGTAAACTGAAATAGTGGTTTCGGTCACTGCTAAACCAGAAGAAATCAAATAAAAATCGTCCATCGAATATAAGAATCCTGGATACGAACTAAATGTTATATCGTGTCCGAACACTAGTTGGTACGACGATTTGCTTTCCTTGTAATTAAGGCGATATCGCTTTTGTATTCTCAGCATTGTTTCGTACCTATAAAATATACGTTTAATAATAATAATATATTATATTATTTTAATAACAAAGATCCCAGAAGATAATGATACATAATTCATATAACAATATAATATAACCAAATTTAGGTACCTATTCCCAGTAACGTGGGAGAAGAACAACTCTTTGGATCCAGGTAGTAATTTTATAAGAACTGAACACGATTCAGCCCCAAACGATTTTTTATGAGGGTGTGATTAATTAAAGGCATCGCATAAATTAAATAAATCACCTTGAATGTTCATCCAACTATTCAAAACGTTAACAATTTCGTTTTTTAAACACAATTATTAAATGTCATAGTAAATAACAAATTATAAAGATCAATGACAGATATTAAAATAATATATGCTACTATGCTCACAAAAAATTTTCCCATGTCAAAGACTGCATTCCTTCTTTTGTATTCAGCTTATATCCATCGTATAACCCGTCGAGTTGCTTGTACATGAGACCAACCTTTAAACGTAAGACCCACTATAATATATACACATTACTCATATGTGGCTATGGACATTGTAATCTATAGTGTTCCACGTCAAAAACCTATAACGTCTTGTAATAGATGTATAATAAATTATAATTTTAAGGTACAAACTTGATGCCAATACGCGTCCGATCCATTTTTCTCGGTCACTTGTGATATGACCCAATTTTTATTCGTCCGCAGGAACTCGTCAAGTTTTACGCACAAATCAGATCGACCGTCACAGAAATGTTGAAAAACATTTTGCCAATGCTTGTTTATCAAATCTGCAGTGACGTATCCTTCCAACAAACCAGCGGCATAGGCTTGTGTCGCGTCATCTTCCTTGATGGATGTAAGTATTTCTAGATAATCCCACCTGGAAAGCAAACGATTCCAATATTTTTACTATACCTAAATAGTAAATATATCCTGTAGGCAATCACCATTCCGGCCGAAGATAAAAATATAATATCATATAGGCATTATCCCTAGTCGATAGATATATCACTTATGCAAAGGGTAGCAAATTAATGAAAAAATAATTAACTCAAGTTAAGTTAAGAGAACACTAGATCGATAAGTTACAAGTTAAAAGTTAACAAATTATTGGTTCAACTCGATGAGTTAAAAGTTAATAAGGAAAAAATATTAACTGTTTAAAAAAATTTTAAAAAATTTTTTGACTTGATAGATTATTTTTAAATCAACTTCGAAAAGATAAGTTATTTCAACTGCCAATTACACAAGTTAAGTTGAAAAGTTTATTCAAAATAAACTAGCTAGTTAAGTTAAGATGTTTAAAAAAAATTAACTTTTTAGCTGTTTAGTGCACACAGCTTTGCAGTTATTATTCATATAAATAATTGAATTATGGGAAGGAATTTTAATGGATGAAGTTTTTAAAGACATTTCACCGTATGACGAGAAAACATTTTCTCGAAATAAATAACCAGTAAACTTACCTACGGCAATTAAATCAGTTTTCAAGGAGCCCAACAATAAATATTTTAGCCATCTCAAATGTCAAAACAAATCGAAATGGCACCCGTTAACCAGCAGTATTATAAAGTATTTAAGTAAAATATATTTGGGTATTGATATTCAAATACTTTTTCATGTATCAACAATTAAATTCGTTTTGTAAATACAATGCTTATCAGCAAGTATTTTAAGTCTCTACGTTTTAAATACTACATTACTGTTTATCTGTATTAAACTCTTTTCTTCAAATACTTTTTTCTTACTTTCGATTTATAATATTTGAAACTGTTGTAAAAGTAAACACGATTACCACCAAAATATTATCTTTTTACTATTTAGTTTCAAGTAATATGCCATATGCCCATACCTAATATGACTGTTGTCCGATATTAATTTCGAATTAACAGTTATTTGAAATGTAAAAAACATTTAAACGATAAAATATTGATACAATGATGCATAATAAATATAATGTATCTTAAATTATGGCTGCATACAATATTGCGATGACAAAAAAACTATAAACAGCGAAACCTCTAAATACCGGACACTCTTGGTTACTGAAATTTTGTCCACTATTCAGAGGGTTCAATTTGAAACAGTGTGTAGTGTGTAGCCGGAAAAAAACGTCCGCTATTTAGAGGGGTAAGTTAGAGGGCTAGGGGAGGTTTCACTGTACATACTTAAATTGCAGACTCACCCTGTAGCGTTTATACTCCGAGTGTAACTAGCTTTACCGACGAGTCTACCGTCTTCAGTGTGTCGAATTCTAATATTATCAACATCGTCGACGATAGCGTAAAATATGTGGTTCGTGTCGTCGCCCGAAAGCCGCGTTGGCAGCGTCAAGAAGATCGCGGACTACACTAGAAACACGACGATCGTGATTTTTCTGGCAGACATGATTATAAACGATAAACTGCGATGACACGATTATTGTAGTACACATGAGTAAGTAGGCATGATGCTTATACAACAAATGCGATCGATTGCCGACCAAAATGGTTCTGCTGCTGAAGGTTCGGCTTCTCTAGCCGGGACCCTGCAAATATAATATAGTATAATCTGTGTAATATACTTATATACATGCATATAGGTACCATTGTACATTTGTACCAATACTTTGCAATGTTCACGTCTTTCCCCCGTCACAATACATTATATTTTCAATAACATAATAATAATTCCTATTGTGAGTTAAACTGGATCCTAATTATAAATGTATTGACCATTAATGTATATTTTATTACATACCTACTTAATTGTTTTCACAGTGAGTAACAATAGTTGATAGGTAAACATTATATTATAATGTCAATATTGTTATTGTTATTGTAACATGGTAAAAACATTAGTTGTAAGTTGACACAAATAAAAAAATATGTACAATATTACGAATATTGTGACGTCGTTTGTATGAGGCAATTTTCGTTATATATTATCATTATATACCTACCTACTCTTACAATACTGCAGACAATCTTCAACGTATACTCATTAACCAACACAATTAACTATCCATAACATAATCATATTGAATACACTTTGTACCCTAATGAGAAATGAGGATCACTAAATGGTATTTATTCTCTTAATTATTATACCCACCAGTGTTTGTGACTTAATTTCTTCGTTACGTTTATTATACCCGTAAAAAATAATAATATTCCAATCTAGACTATATTGTGTTGATTTCTTTTTATATAAAATTATTATTATTATTATTATATACATTAACATTGTTTTAGTATTATCGTAATAATAGTTAATAGTTATACACTTAAACTAATCATGTTTTATAACGCTGCAATCATGTGATTACAAATATTGTGTAATAATATTATGTTATATTAAACCTATTTATGTATCGATATATATATGGGCTTATGCACGTATGGTATGCATATGTGTTGTACACACTACCTTCGTGGACTACATGTGTAATCTACAATATAGTTTATTATTTAGCGTAATAAACACTACAGTTGCAAGTGCAACATGATAAACTGATGACTAACTTAATATAAAACCCACAAAATGGATAAAGAATACAGAATAATGATAGGTCAAATGAATTTAAAAAGTAAAATATTTGTCTACTGATAAAAACAACAAGGAAACATACGTAAACTTCACCCGGATTATCAACTGGGTTACAACCTAAAAGGTAGGTACATAATGCATCTCTTGTCGTCGGTAGAAAAATGTGAAATTCTAAATTCTAAATTTAAAAAAAAGCAGTGGAAAATTAGAGTTTGGTTTAATAATAATGGTAAGCACCAATCAACCAATATTTGTATCAACAATATTCTTTTAGTTATGCTGAATCGCTAAATATTTTTTTTATAGTTATTCGTAACTACATGTATTGAAATATAATATGTAAAATGTATTTATTTATATTTATGTCCTATATAATTAAATATTTTTTAGTAGGTAATCATAAACTAATATAAATTGTATTATTATTTACAACAAATGTTCTACGACAGTCCACCAATATGCAGTTTGAATTAATTATATTATTTACCTATATGCAGTTATACCAATTGGTTATTAATTACATAGCATTTTAGCAATTACATACCAAAATTGATTTACTGTTCGTCAGTACGACCCATTTGTGAATACGGTTCAATTATATGATTACTAATTACGCCCTACCAGTTAGGCAATAATTCAAAATTGGAAAAAGTACAACAAAAATTCTTACGCTTCGTCTCATTTAAATGCTCCATTCCTAGAGAACCAACCTCATACTACTTACAATCCATTGTTATCTATATTGAACCTTCAGGCGTTGGAACATAGACGTACCTATAACCTATAAATCTTGATTTATATTTCCTATTGAAGATTTTGGCTGGTAATGTTGACACCCAGATTTTTAATCCGTTTATCCTTCTATACACCAACTATGCACGATCAGAAAACACATTTCATTGAAGTTTAAAAATTACCAGCTATGCAAATAAATAAATAATATTATTTTCAATAGAGTAATGCAAACCGTTAATAAATTAAAAATTGATATTATGTTGAACTCACCAAGTTTATACTCATTCACATTTTATTGTAATTCTTTAATTCTCAATTCATAATACGCTATGTTTATATTATATAATATAATTACTATCATTTTTTTTACTATTACTATTATTAGTAGGTATTATTGTTATTGTCATCATTATTAAAATTATTATCTCTACTGTGTTCTATCTTGCTTATCATAATAATTGTAATGTTGTTGTTTATTATAACAGGGCCTTGCCCATTTAATGCCAAATAAATAAATAAATAAATTCTCACCACATATACACGTGTTCCAACCAATCATGCTGCATATTCTCGGATTTTCGGAACAGTCGGAACCCCTACAGTAATAAAACCTACTTAACCAACCCAGACTAATGACCTCAGATGTTGAAGATTAACTCAATAAAAAATAAATATTATATAAGTCTACAGTGGTGTATTTAGGCCGAGGTCTCCCAGGACCCCCAAGGTATATCCAATTATTACAGTTGGGGGTTTAAGTACTTATATCATGACATGAAGAAAAGAGGGATATGTGGGTAGTGGGGTACCTAGTTTAGTTATCAGTAGTTATCGAATATGGCATTGCAGCAATGGATGTGTTATATTTTAATTCAATGATAAATCTTTGCATAGTTACATGAACAAAGATTCTGAGTGGAGACGTTATGTCATCCCAGCATACCTAGTTGTACGAAATTTAAAAAAATTAATAAATTTAATAATAAATAGGGTAACATTCAAGAAAACTTTTTTTTTATTAAAGGAAGAAAAACTTTTGTGGAATCTTCTATTAAAATTACTTATGTTAGCTACGAAAAGAAAAACTCATAAATTTCTAACTAAAAAATAATTTTGCAGATTTTCGGGATTTTGATGAATTTGAACTTAAACAGTGCTGTAGCTAAAACAATTATTCTTTCCTTAGATTTCGCAATGCTAGAATATCTACTTATTATTTTCATATATTACTTTATGATCCCTTTGTTCATAAAGTGTTAACTACAATACAAGTCATGTACTTTTTTTCTTATGACTGTATTTATGTAGCAACTACTACCTAGTACCTACATATTGTAACATAACAATGTATTAACATTATTGTAAACAATGTAAGCCATGGGCTAATATATTAATATGTGTTATAAACATAACTCACAACATTCATTTAACACATAATATAATTCAAAACAAGCCATAGTTGACCTTTTACAAATGGGATACCTAAAAAGTAAAAACAGTGAAGATTATGATAATAATGGAGCAAATTAATTGTATAACTTATAAATTATAAGGAATTTCCATACACTACACTACACTACAAAAATTAGGCATACAAAAAAAAATGTTGAGGTGGCACGTTACCACCCCTCCCATAGCTACGGTACTGGAGTGTAATATTGCTGTCCAGTTAATAGGTAAAATAATTATAGCATCCTAGTGAAATGTTTTGTTGCAAAATACTAGTATTCTATTAATACCTATATTTTCTAATCTTAATATAAATAATAATATAGTCAGGGCGGTATTTGAGGAATTTGCTGCTCTAGGGCAACAAATAAAAATGCCTTATTATACCATATTAAAAATGTACAACAATTTATAATTCGAGATTTGCGGCCCTCACAACACCTCATTCCCCTAACTTTAAATACATCCCTGGATTTGCAGAGCCATAACTAGGGGGTTGGGGTACTGACTCTTCCATCCCCAGAAATTTTTTAAAAGTAGTACAATTTTAGATGAATTGCGAATATTGTATTAAGAATTATTTTATGTTTTTGTAAAAGCAACAATAACAAGAATAAAGAGTCATTATATTTTTAGCATAAAAATTATGAGTTTCCAGTATTTATATTTAAAAAATGTTTGATCACCCTCAGCAAATTTTTTTTTCAGTTATTGCCTTATAAAGTCGTATGCACCTTGTGTTTTAATTTGTGTTGATAACTTATGTGTTAAAACAAAACCAGCATATATGGATAAAAATAAACTGTATATTATAATAAATAAAGATTCTGTTACGTATAGAGCCATTAAGTTTAACACAAAAAATCCCAAACAAATAAAATTATAGTATAAACATTATATAACATTATACAACAAAAATATAGAACATATCATAATGTAATGAGTGGTTCTTGAGTTTTTAATTCTTGTTTCATCAATCCAAACCTCCATTCGTTCCTATCTCTAAGTATAGGTCTGCCAAGTTGGTTGTGCAATTCTTTGAATGTCTTACGAAACGAAACTATATCTTTACGCTGAGGAGATTGATGACTATTCACTGGCTTATTGAAAGGATTATTGCGACCTCTGGGAGGTGGCTTAGGAGATGATTGTACACTAGATTCTTTGTTTTGAGTTGCTTGGTTATTTGGTACTTGAAGAGTTACTCGAACAGGTGATTCTATACAAAAATATAAATTAAACATTTTACTTAAATAGTGATAAATATTTTCTGTTTCTATAATAATGTAATAGTAATGATTAAGGGTTGAACTTTGTAACATATGCATTTACTTTTGCCTCATTAGATTTATTACTATAAGCTATAAATTAAATTCATAATGTTAAAAATGTTGAATACATATTTTTGTTTTTAAATGCATATCTAACTATATGCATATTTAGTTCATTTTTATGCTCTGTTCACCTAGATAATGACCAACTTCATACATGAAACTGGAGCCAAGAAGTGAGGAAGTCAGTCATCTTTGGTCGAGGTTAGATACTACACATTTTGGTTTTGGCTCAATCATATTTCTCCATGAACAGAGTATAGAGTAGTAGCACTATCACAAGCATAAGTCCTAATAATGGTAAAAACTAATGTTAATATACCTTCTAGTTCTTTGAGTTGCCTTTGTAAATCAGCTACCATAAATTTCATGTAATCATAACTGGCACAAGCCAACGACTTCATCCACTGCTCCATTGACTCCTGGCTATCGGCTCCCAATATATAACTCCTATTATTGGGACCATGAAAAATAATTTTAAAACTGAACTGATCATCATTTTCAGCCAACTCTAAAGAACAAAATAAAGAATATATACATATAATACCAACACAGTCAATTTATAGTGATGCATCTACACAACATACCAATGCTACACCCTTCCAATATGACAACGCCGAGCGGTTCCTTATCACTTTTCCTGTCAAAATAAAAAAGCAAATTGCCTTTAAGAACAAACCATCTTTTTTGGTAGCCTTTGTTAAGTTCTCCTCGTTTGCAAAGCCATCCTTCTTTATCCACTGGCGATGTCGATGTTGAATATGCAGATAAATTTTTCTCGTTTATCTTCATTGGGATTGTTTAGTTCTCATTAATATGTAATTTTTGTTGACATTTTATAATATTGATTGAACAAAATGTGAATATTATGTATTCGTTTAAGTTTTTAACAGGAGCAAGCGATCTAGTGATATCTTAAATCTTAGTACTTGAAGAAAATTCGAATTTTCTAAAATATTTTCAATCTTATTCTTTATCAGTTATCACGTAATATACTATCGGGATTTGGATACTTTTCCCGAAAGTTCATGGAAGAAAAAAAAAGATAAGCCAACTTGGCCAACCCCATATGACTAATGAGTTCAAATTTTTTGTGCTATATTTTTATAACTTTTGTCAGTTAAAACCACAGACTAAAGTATCTTTCTATAATATCTTAGTCCGTGGTTGAAACCATTCGGCATTCAACTACTGTAAAATCGTGTCATCGACTATCATTTTATCGTAATGAAGTAGCTTAAGGGGTGGCTCAAGGGAGGGGGGCTGGGGTCCACAACCCCCTTCTAGCCAATATTTCTAAAAAAATTGTTTGTTAATTTGTTAAAAAGAACGTATTACAATATCGAAAGTTTTCTGAATATTTCCCCCCACACTCCACCATGTCATTGGAGCCGCTCCTGGTGAACTCATGGATTTTACACAGAGTATTACCCAATTACTGTAGTTACTTTAGTTACTTAGTATACTAAATAGTACTAAGTATGCTATATTACCTTTTTTTTATAGCTGTGCATGGACGTGGAATGGGAGGGCTAAATGAGCTATAGCAGATGTTCCCAAACTTTTTATTGTACGACCCATTTTGAAAATTTTTTAAAATATGGCGACCTACAATATCAATGAATGACTTTTTTTTTTTTACCATACAACAGAAAATTAAACTATTTTATTAAATTTTATGTAATTACGAAAAAAAAGCATAATAAGTATAATATATAGTATTTGACACGGCCGCTGGTAAACTGGTAAACTCGTAATTGTCACACTCACAGATAAGGATTGACGATAAAACTGAATTTGAACTTTGAACATCAACGAAAAGTAATAGATGATTATATTTTTGTATTATTTAAAAAAATAGCGCGACCCACCAAAAGTATAATCGCGACCCACAGTCTGGGAACCTCTGAGCTATAGTACTCCCATCCAAATTAATCACTCATGTATCAGTGACTTGTCAGTTGTCGCATTAGATTCCCTGGTAAGAAATAAACATTTAAAGTGGGTAAGTATAATAATATACACTTTACATACAATATAAATATAAAATCAAGCCCTGACGAAAAATCCATCCAAAATATAATTTTATTTTTGAAAGATACTGAACAGTACAATCTAATTTAAGTTATCATTATATGCAAAAACAAGCCAATGGTCACGTTATCGAGGCTTCTTTCTTAATAAAAAAAATTTATATACAAAAAATCAATTAAAAATAGTTTAATAAAAACCTATTTAATTTTAGATTCTATTCTATAATGCAAAATATTAATAAATATTTGAATATTATAATAAAATTTAAGGAAGATGAATTAAAAAAAAAAATTTGATATGTAGTCTTTCTTCAAGGGGGGGGGGGAGACACATTGATATCATGATGACATTTTCAAATTGTTTTATTCCAATTTGTGTTACAATTTAAAACTCTTAAGTCTATTAATGTATTTATTGACACTATACTCGTCTTGTTGGAATCAATCCAATGCTATTTTAGTTATCAAACATTTTTTATAATATATTACAAAAAAATAAATATTATGTTATGTACGTATTATCACATTCAATATGTTTATTTTATTTTTCAATAACAAATTCGTTAAGGATTTACATATTATATAAATGTATTATTATTATGAAAATATACATACTTAATTATTATACTATTAATTTCAAAATACATCACAGTGAGGTTAAAAAATACACACTTAAAGTTTTTAAATGTACAGCTTGTATAAAAATACCTTACAATGTCATTTAGGGAGTTAACAAGAGAAAAGGAGACTAAACATAATTTAAGATCTAGTATATCAGTCTTATCACAAATTTAAATATTATTGTCTAGTAAATGTTAAGCTCGTAGTTCATCTTTTTAATATACAGTTTTACTTGTTTTACAAATTTCTTATCCAGGTTCCATTTATCTAATCGTCCCAAATGTTGTAGTTTTGAACATTTTTCAATGAATTTTATAACTGTTTGGTGATTAGTCTACAAATAAATTATTAAAATCATACATTATAATGTATTAAAGAATATGTTAAAGTTAAAACTTACAATCGGGTGTTCATCATTGAACGAAATCTCTAATCTTTTGAGATTATTGCACATTATTAAAGGGGGTCTCTCAAAAACTTGTGTATTCCAATAAAGATGTCTTGAATCACTATAAAGCTGAAATTGAAATTTATTGTAACTAAACATTTATAATGAATATTAGTTATTCTAGTGACAAAAACATACTTTGGCTTCTTCTAAACAAGGACAGTTTTCAAAAAACCAATTAATTGTTTCAACAGTTGGCATGTGTAATTCGATTGATTTCAGTTTTGTAAATTTTCCGACTGGCATTTCAAAAATATGTAAAAATCCTTTAAGCACTAATAAATTTGGACAACTAGCCAGGAGTTTGGCCACATCTATATCAGCTTCCTATAAATAATTTATTTTTATTAATTTATAAAATATATAACAACTAAAATTCTATGTAACGCTACAATATGACATTCATATAAATATAAATTATTTGATGAAACTTACCTGGTCAAGAATAGTGAGTTCAGACAAGTTGCGACCATAGTTAAACACAAAGTTGATAAAATGAAAATTCATCATGTAATCAAGATCAATAGTTAGTGTTTGTACACGGCCCCAAAACATGGATCCTTGTTCTGGATCTGCAAAATCTTCAGGCGTACAGACACATGATAGTCGGGTGTACAACTTTTTTAGGTATGGTAAACATTCTTTGAGTGAAGCTATTTTTTTGCCTGTTAGCTGCATATCATACAATTCAGTCAACTGGAATATACGTGGCTTGGGGGAGTTTTCCCATACGGTTACCAAAGCATCACCAATGTTCCTAATAACCAAGTGTATTTTACTCTATTTTTGTTCAAAAACATTCATGATTGTCATTATCTTACCTGAAGTATAGAAAACCACCTAAGGCTTTTAGGCTCTTGACACATGCAAGTATCATCAGTAAACTAGCATCTTCTGTATTTGTATCCTGAATCCTCAATTCTTCTAAAGTAAAACAGCAGTTATTCAACATTGACTTATTGTCATACATATGGCTGAGATGCTGACAGAGTAATTCGTTTGATACGTTTATTGTTTCCACATACACATCATTCTAAAAGCACATTATCCACATTAGACTTCGTAATGTATGGCATATTATAAAAAATAATTTTTACTTTAAACAATAGATGTTTGATGCCCGCTTCGTCAACATTCCATGAACCGGATACATCTAAATGTTTTAAACATAAAGCATGTTCACCAATAGTTTTCAATATTGCATTATCACAAATAGCACCGAGCTTTAAATGAACAAGTTTTGAAGCTAGACCTTCATGAAACGTTTTCTGAAGATTATACATTGAAGCGTACACGGCTGGAGTGTAGTTATTTTTACTTGACATCTACAAAAAAATATTAGGCAATTAATTATAAATGTTCAAAATGCATAAGGTACCAATGAGTGCTCACTTGAAAGGTCACAGACAGTTCTTTGAGATGAGTATTATTACGGTTCAATATAGAAACAAATTCTTCGAATTCAGTTTCCATACCTGCGTGAAGATATAAAGGTGGTAATCGAGCAACCCCAATGTCCAACATGGCGTTTAATATTATTAACCATATGCTAAGTTTAACACTCAATATTTTTATGTATGGATTTGTGTCAATCATTACACAGTTTAGTTCACTCCAAATTTCATTATCTTTTTCACCATTATCCCTAAATGAACATAATAATATGTTATTAATAAATCACACAATTTAGTATTGTATATTATATTTATTTTAAATATAAAAGGATGAGAGTTAATCAATTTGAGTCTTGGATTTGTAAGTTAAAATCCCTTGTTCTGGATTTACCATAACATAATACTAATCATTAATTAATATACAAATCTGATAATTCATTTAAATTTTGACTTACAATAGAACTTTGGTGTAGTTCAAAATGTTGGTTCTGGCCCAAGCATGTACATTATTAATAAAATATTCACGCGATCCATTTACATCTTTTTTCATATTGTTAGATATGTTTAGTATGTGTTTGCATGCCTGTTCTAGTGCTAAAGATTGTAGACTTTTTACAGAATTGTATGGAGGCATCTTGATTAAAGTTGTTGCAATATCTAAAATAAAACAAATAAGAAAAAAACACAACAGTTTTATATTAATTAATATTTAATTTGTACTTTAGACACTAATATAGGCGTTCCATTTGCTTAAAAAGTTCTAGATAAAATTTTTCTAAAATAAAATCTGACACATTAAATAGCTTTAGTTAACTTATTTAAATGAGTGATGTCAATGCAAATATTTGAAAGAATTACTGCCAAATGGTGCTGAAATAACAAAACTATAAAAATCCTAATTAATAAACAAATCTGGTTAAAATCTTAGTGAACTCTGAAAAGAGTAACATACTGTTTCAAATGCTTTAATATTTTTACAACACAAGAGTTACATATGTATATAAGGATAGGAGCAGACTGAATTTGTCACAAATGATTAGAAGTAAATAGGAAAAAAACAATAACCATTACAAAACCGATAGAAATGATAAAACAAAGTTGAATATTATAATTCGATCACCCCAAGACTTGTTCAATTATCCAGAAAAAATGAGTCAACTTTAAAAAAAATCATAATCAGACAGTATCCACATCATTGGATAAACACATATTGGTGAAAAATCAATCTCCTAAACAATGACCTACCTAGGATGCTGATGTTCTGATCATCACTGGATAATATTGATATCAAATACTAGTTAATACCGCCAGAACGATAAAAACTATTCGAAAACAAACGAAAATGCTAACCCGTCTACCAATGTCAGTTGAATATTCTTTTTTGTTTTTTACTAACCTATCTCCTAATACAACAATGAACATCGGTTAAACCCAATTAACACAATATTAACTCATAATATTTAAAAGATACTCACATGGAGAAGAATGAGACAACAATGACGAATTTCGTCAACTCCTTCAACTTGACACTGAAAGTGGCATTTGATTTTTAAATCGCATGCGCTGCTCTTGTCGCTAATTCGGCTGAACTGTTTGTTTTTTTTATTATAAGCTCGGACGTCAGCGTATCGGCGGCGGCAGGTCAGTGCGGTGCGTGCCGGATCAAGTGTTCGGTAACACTAAGGTAGTTAGTTAGGTACGTTGGTACCGTTGACTGTTGTTACGTGAGTACCTGGCTACTTGCGTCCAGTCTTCCAGAGACGAAATTCATCCGTTTTGTTTTCGTTTCCGTCTCCCTCACTCAACCTGTTCACCTCTTTCTCACAGCGGGTTACTTTTTACTCCGCTTTTTTGCACGTCCTGTCTGCTTAGATTCTGTTGTTCCCTCTAATTGCCACGACCAGTTGGGAGGCGAAGGAGTAAGAAGAAAATATTCGAGTGGGGGCCGTCGTGGTAAGGGAGAAGGGAGACGAGATCACGATAATCACCGAATTTTAAAACTTATGACGGCGGAAGATTTATATCATAAGTTCGTTATCTACGATTCTCGTACGCGGTCGGCCGGCCGGATGAGCTTCTTTTGCGTGAGTGTTGGACGCAGAAAATACTATGTCTTCCGGGTGTACCTACCAACCTATTTAGATTTTCGATTATAGACAATATTAGACTGTGCCACTGTGACCGTGACGACTGGCGACTGGCGAGTGGCGATGATGATAATGATTGTGATGATGAAAAATGATATATAGTAATAATAAGAGTAAAATCACGGTCTAGTTCCGCTTTTGATAACGCGTATCACTGTAGTTTACGATGAGGTCACACCACAGTGCACAGACTAATATTAAAAATTTAATTTAAATTATTAATATTTTATTCTGTGCCCATATTATAGTTATAAACAGCAACTAAATAGACAATGGCCTCATTGATTGAAATTTGAAGTTAGCCTTCATGTACTCGTATACAAAGCTGCAATCAGACAATGTTTACATTTTATGTAAATCTATATTTGTACGTTATAGCTATCTATAGGTATGTTTAGATATTACGTATTATATCAATGGACTATGCGTCTGTACCTATAATTTACTTATGAGTAAACACTGACTGCTTGGCAAATGTCGTTATGGTAGCACAAATTTATATACCTATTATATTATATTCTGGGTTAATATTTATATAAGCTATAAGTTTATTTTAATAGTAACAACAAGAAGGCTAGTTTTTTTTTAAAATCTTTAAATTCGTTGGTCCAAGCCGGTGTGAAAAAAAGCACCGGGATATTGAACCATAATTATTTCGTAGAGCAAACATCCCGGTACCTACCGTTTTTTTCCACGCCTATTTGATCGACCGAATTTCTTGTATATTTATGGTTGTACCGCAAAGGCATAGAACATATCACTGATCGTAGAATACGTTCTATATTTTATTAGAATATTTATCCTCAGTTACTTGTCTATGGTTGTCGTTCTTCATATTATCCAATACTCAATTGATAAAAATATGATTATTATTACCGTGATTGTCCGTCTCAGTCTCTGTAGGACGTAGGACCGCGGTCGGTCGTTCACTCCATTAAAACACGCATCTTGGGGTCTAAGACCTGAGCCTCGCTGTGTTGTTTATTGTATTGGGTCAATGGCAGTTGTTCGACCGACATTTGAACTCGTACCCGCGCCGTATACTCTTCCACAATATTAACCCCTCCTGGCCCCCCGACCATACCACGGCATTGACCTGACACCGCCGTACCGCGGTCGCCTTGACGATAATATGTAAATGAGTTTAAATTTACATTTTACACGCTAATTCACGAATTTCTCCCCTCTGTACCCGACGCTCCCGTAATCCCGTACCAAACACCTAGGTAATTAGCGAAATTATAAATTTTAAAAATATTGTGTACACTGGGCGCCTATCTATCAACAGGTGACATTTGTCTCTAAAATCAAATATTAATGTAGTCGAACTGTTCGTCTCAAAAACAGCTACTCAATATGTCACCCTATAAAAGCAGGTAATCCCACAAGGAAGCGACATCGCCCCTTTCCTATACTCTGTTTTCACCCATGATATCCCAAAGTCATTCTACATACGCTGACGATACTCTAATATTTGCGTCACACCATCGCGATGCAGAAATTGCTAGCTTAAGGATCCAAAATCAACTTATGGGCAAATCGTTGGAAAAAAAATAAACGAAACCAAATCAATTCACGTAACATTCACTTTACGAAACTCTGACTGCCCTCCAGTTTCGCATAACAACAAAGTCCTACCAACAGCAAATGAAGTCAAGTACTTAGGGCTCACATTTGACAAACGTCTTACGTGGGGCCCACACCTAAAACTAAAGTGTAAACAAGTTAACTCCAGGTTGCACCTCTTTAGACCCCTTTTAAAATCTAAACTATCCCTAAAAAACAAGTTGACAATATATAAAGCGATAATCCGTTCGGTATGGCTCTATGGCATTCAGCTATGGGGGCCTTCAAAGCCTTCCAACACCAGAACTCTACAAGCTTTTCAATCAATATGCTTACGTCTAATAACCTCCTCTCCCTGGTACGTAACAAATAAAAATCTCCACAAAGATTTAAAACTACCTACTCTTAACGATTTGGCCAAATCCCATTATACCACATTCTTTTCCAAACTACGTACACACCCATTATAATCCTTTAATCCAAAAATTATCCCCTGCGACACACGCTCCCAGGAGACTAAAAAGGCTGTGGCCCCGAGACATGCTCAACGCATAAAAAAAAAAAAAAACAATTAAATAATACCAAATAGTTAACTTAATGTAATTTCTTGTCAGGTGGCACTACTGAGAGTCTTCCAATACTAATATTTTTATGTTATAAAAAAAAAATTTGTCATTATACTTACTGATTATTGTAAATATATTCTTCTTAATAAAAACAAAAAAAATATGTGGTCTCTACATCTAGTATTTTTTTTGGTTACGTGTAAAATCTCGAACTTCGTAATAGGTACATTTTAACCACGTTGTACCACCTGTAAAAAATATCTGGTGCCTTGCCTGTTAATAACAGCCAATAGGTACAGCGCCATGATAGCGGCTTAATATTTTATATACTACAAAAACTATATTGCTTTTATGAGATTCAGAATTAACATTTCTAAATATTGCTCTTTTCAATTATTGTTAATAATTGATAACTGAACTATTTTAATTTTTCTTTTCCGAAAGACTTGACATTTTTGTACAAGAATTCTCTTATTCCACAGTTCCAAATCATATAGCAACTACGTATTAACTATTTAACTCTCAAATTATAAAAAAATAAATTGCTAAAAGTAATATAAATAAATCATTAAATATCCTTAGAAAAAGAGGTTGAAATACCGTTTTACAGGATTTAATGACAAGGTACACTGAAAACTCATATTATACAACAGATTTCGCTGTTTTTTTCGAATGAAAACGAAATAATTTCCTGTTTGGTCATTAATCGAAGGTGTTTATAAAAATGACGTTAACCTAGGTTTGAAAAAAATAAATACTATTTTCTTAATCCTGCAAACGCAGCTCTAAGATTAACTCAATAAGACAAAAAATAAGGCACTAAAGAAACATGAAATATTGGAAAAATTAACAAACAGAGGTGTAGCTAAATTGCCAACACAAACCGCCGTGGTGTCGTCAAGCTGTGTGATCATAATTTATTGTTTTATTAAAATGTTTATTGGAAAAATAGAGTCATAGAAATAATTGTATTTTAGATTATAAGTCGAAGCTTATTTTATTATTGTAGTGTGTCATTAATTTGCAGGTTACTTATAAAATGTGATGTAGTATTAATCATTATTTATTAGTTTTATTATAGATTCAACAACAAACGTTTGCATTAAAAATTATTCGCAGTATAAACGAGAAATGTATAGAAATACAAGTTTTACTTTATATTTTTGTCAGGGGACGGATTCCACCTTCGACTGTGGGTGAGTTGCGGCGCGGCCGGCCCGAGTAATTATCATTATTCATTGAAATTGTGATGAACTTGATGAACTTGGCAGATGCGGTGTTGGATATACAAACGAATTACTCCATAAACGAAATGTTCGAAACGTATGGGGATCATTGAACGATTGAACTCGATATGATATCTAACTTAATTAAACTTATCATATTGAGTTTAATGATGAGAAGTTATATCTTTATATAGTATGATAGAGATAATATTATAGAATATAGATCGTTTTAATCTATTATATCTGCCGTATGACCTGGATCTATGTCGATTTCATTGAAGGCAAAGTTGGTGGAGGAAAATCAAAAGTTTTAGACTTACTAAACTATATAATATAATGATACAGATTACAGACGGTAGTCATTATTCAAAATATTTTTTGGATTGCCATTTTTGGATTCTGAAAACAACATAGACTGCTTTATAAACTTTTTTTTACCACTTTTTGGCAATACAGCCTGCTGAAATGACCAGATTGTGAAATTTACTGACTACATTTTTGAAAACTATATTTCACAGGACGCTATGTCTCTCCCCCCCGAATATTTGGGAACAGTTTACTGCTAGCTGCAACCGTACTACTAACAGCTGTGAACAGTGGCGTCGGAGAAGGGGGGCAGAGGGGGCAATTGACCCCTCGGATATAATCCAAGGGGGCCAAAGTATACTTTTGCCCCTCCCCTACTACATTAAAATTAAAGAGTATACAATCGTAAATTACGTAATACGTTTAATTTATACGTTTACTTATACAAAATTGGTCTCATTTTCATGAATATCGAATATGTGCTATAATATTATTATTATTATTATCGATTTATTATTTATTATTATAACATAATACTTTATAAACAATATATATTGTATATATGGTTTTTGTAACAAAAATTTTGTATACCTATTGTTTATTTTATTTTGTTTAGTTGTAAGATACTTTAATTGTTGAGCCAAATTTTTATTAAGGCTAAATAAAATAAAAAAAAAATTTAAAAAATACATAACAAACATTCTGAGTAAATCTTATAGACATTTTTTGTCGGATTGCTTTATCAACTTATATTGGGAAATTCCTCGACTAGCCACTACAGTGTTCTCAAAACATACCATATTGTTTATTATTGGAATATCATTAGACTATTTATAGGTTTTTACAGCTTATATACGTCGTTTACGATTAGGTTCCGATTGGCAATTAGTGATTACTGATTACTGATTACTGATTACCACTATTAAATGAGTACGCTGTCGACTGTCGTAGTGTCACCAGTATAATTGTTTGTTGTAACTAAGTTTAATTGTTTAAAATCCTTAAATACGTTCCACATACCTGCATTCTGCAATGGCGGTTCCCAATCCCCCAAAAAATATCAAAGACTTCTTCAAACCGAAAACAGTCACAAATAAATATATAATAATTGTTAGGTTTTTTTATGTCTTGCCCCCCCCCCCCTCATGAAAAATAGTTCCTGCGCCACAGGCTGTGAATGTGTTCATTGAAAACTAAACATGTGTCGTTCTACACTAGCCATCCTAACATAGGTGATACGTATTTAACTTCGTTGATGTGTTACTAGGAGTTAAATCTGAAACATACATAAAATGCAGAAGTAAAAGTATAAGAACAAAAGATGACAAAGCATGGGCTAAAAGAAATAGAGAATTTTTGAGAATCGTTGAGTTTTAAGTTTTTGCCAAAACAATAGTTAGGTTAG